TTACTATAGTACATATTTAACAATTTTATATACACATACATACATGCGTGCATATATATCGACACAAACGAGTAGAACCTTAATCGGGGCTGAGGCTTGCAAGACCCAAACTCAAGTCACATTTAATTTGGGTGTAATATTCGAATTTACACTTTGTTCGACCCAACGAAAGATTAGATTTAACGGATCTTTTCAGGTTGAACGAATCGAGTTCAAGTTGACCTAACCCCGTCAAGAGCACTATGTTTCAGTACGACAGTACCTAATAGGCCCAACCCAACTAGTAGGACGGAGTTGGAACCTCCCTTGTACTGAAAAGATGAACATCTTGGGGGCACAGGCATTCTCTAAACAAAGCAAACTATTATCCGCATCTACAAGCAAGGAACTTCTCAAGGGGAAGAATTCTGTGACATGACTTCATAAACTAGAAGATGACATCCAATCTCCATCATCAATTGGAGTAATAAATCCTTTGTTTCATGGACAAAGGGGATGGATTATAGATCTCGATCGAAATTATACAATTGCGCATATCATAAGTTATTTCATTATCCCTTTAATTTCTCTTTGAAAGAGTGTCTAACAAATCAACCCTTAGTTTGTTTCCTCATATCAGAATTTCTACTCTTAATATATAATTAGCATAACTCTTGTGTTAATAACTTCTAAATAACAAAAAGTACTCTATATAGACTAATTCTTTAGTTTTCTTGCATTAAATACTATACAAATAGTAGGAAAACAAAGGAAATTCAATCAACAACTTTATTTATACCAGACGCTGTCACGCTAACCACGTAAGGGCCTTTGCTGTCCAGATATCAGAGTATCAGACAAAGTCACGAAAAGTTTGTGATCCAAGTCTGACCAAGATGATTGATTAATATCAAATTCCACATTGTCTCAGGTAAATAATGCAAATACACAGATACATCAGGCCTCATACTTTTTTGTAAATAGCCTATTCCAAACTACAAGGCAGGTTAGGCAGCTGCAATTGCATTCACTTCTAGATTTGGTTAACTTCCAGGAGCCTGCAACAGTAAAGAAATTCTAATGCAGAAGGAAAGTTGAAAAGCCCAGAAAATGGATCCATAAAACATTAAGCTTTTCCCCTTGATCTGAGTCACCACTAGGAGCAACCCATCAACAAGATCAATCCCTACACCATGCAAATACTTGGCGCATCGAGAGACTGGAGCAGTTTGAGACCTGCAACATAGGCAAACGTTCACTCACTCACACACAAAATGGGGAATCATTGACAGCAAAAAAGCCAAAGCATTAGATAAGAATCAACAGGTGCTAAAAAGAAGCTATAAAAGGTAGCTTTTATTTTGTATATTTAGTGTACCAACATTCCCCATCAAATCAGCTATCTATTCCATTTCCAGAGGTCAAGTTTAGTGAGTCCCAAGCCCCCTTGCTCGTGGGCGAGAAATTATAATCCAAAGGTCAAGTTTATTCAGTCCCAGGCTCCATTGCTCACTGGTTAACAGATGTCAGACCAAGTTTAGCTCCATAGTACTTTCTTTCCTCACCAGGCCCAAAAAGTTGCTGATAAACTATCTAATTTCTTAAATACTTACTTTGGAACTGCAAACACAATAGTTCAATACACATGAATATTTAGAACACATTTAACGAGCTGAAGTCTGTCCACATGATCAGTGTCTTGACAGACCAACTCTATTATCTTATTTTGCTATCATAACCTTCCGATCAGCAAAAGACAGCCTGAAGAGGTTATTGAAAGTCCTAGATAAGTCACAAGCAAATGTCCAAAAGGCATACAAACACCATCACACAGCTCCATACTTCTCCCCAAAACATAGCAAATTAGGACACAGATCAGACAATCCCCATATTCTGTTGAAGTACCCTTAACAACTTCAAAAGCTTTATCAGAGTCAGCACATAGAATAAGGAAATAGTACAAACATGCAGTATGTGACAATTTCACATCAGCATGCTTAGGATGGTAATCAAACTACTGATTATTAATATTCCATTCAAACTATTGAACTGAAGATTTGTAGTTATTCTAAAACATCTCAGAGGCTTTATTTAGACACATCAGAGTTCCCAAAATCATTTAATGCACTTTATATTGCACCTTCCTTTTCTTCTTAATCAACTATCAAATCTCATTTTCTACTTCAACGTGATGCTGGACAGAGGTCTGTCATCATCCCAAATGCAGCACTTGGACACTATGCAATCTTGAGAGGAAGTAAATCCATGATATCGCTAATTTACATTGCAAGGTTTAAATGTTTGCTCGCTTGTACTACTATAATTACTCAAATAAGTTGTGCAAAAGATATTTAATAAGAAAGGTGAAACACTTGATGAATGATGACTTCTGTTGAAGGTGAAATGCTTGCAAGGTGTAACTGTTTGCTCACTCATTGTTTTTTGTCTCTAGTTTTTCTCCCTCCCTTCTTGTCAGATGTCATTGCAGGTAGACTTGTACAACTGTACAAGAAATTTTCTTTCTGGCTGAACCTGGATTTTGACATGTCAGATGGCTGGCCTATTATGTATGTCATGTCTATCAACAAACCAAATCCAATCCTTCATCTTGTGACAGGAGATGCTCAATAGTTTTATAACCAGTTGCAAATTCACAATTCTCTTACCAGAGTTTACTTACCAAGTACTCCAACTGATTTAATGCATAGAATTGAAAAAGATGCCTGCATATGGTTCTATAAGATTATTGGTCCTCTAGTAATTTCCATTTTAATTTTCACAAAGTTGTGGCACCCAGTAAAAATAAAATAAACAGCATTGTAATGTAGTGAAGACAAAACTGCATTTGTTATAGACACTCGAGCAAATAATTACTGCCAAAATCTCTTTGACCTAAGTAGCCAAAGAAATTCACAGGCTTGGCAGCACTCTGAAGAATATAGCTCAGGTTTCTGGGGGCTGATTCAAGATAATTGTTGAAGATGACTGACTCGCTTCATTGGGAATTTGGCCATTGACCCCTTTATGCAACCAAACAAAGATCCAATTGCTGTTTCTTCAATTAAGACTTTTAGTTCAGTTTCCTAATTATTCCAATCAAGAGGAGAGAAAGTCAATCGGTTGGCTATCACGAGAGGAATGGAAACTGGAAAAGGTGTAGAATATGTTGTAAATGATACTACTGTAGTTTGGGGCGAGTGTAAGAAAACAATGGAAATGCCCATCATAAGCTGGAAGGCACCATTGGAGAGCTTAGCTCATGATATTGCATCTATAAAATGTAAAGACATGGATCATGGACAAGAAAAACAATCCTTAAATACATAAGACAATAATCCAATTTTCCCACAACAGAGGAAAAAATATTTCAATTGCAATCGAGGCTGCTAAAGAAGGAAACTCGAGCGGGTCGCCTTTGGAAGCGTTCGCCGGCAAAGCCATGAGCATCAAATGATTCATTAGTTCTTTGTTTCACTCTACTTCATCCTGTTTTTACTTTCAACCTGCACTCAAAATTGCTTGGATCAAAGAGGCATGCTGAAACCTCACAAATATCCTCTTTTCACCTTACAAATTTAAAGCAGGAGGAGTTCTCCAAGCAGCACTTTCTCTTTCTCCTACTCCTGGGACCATGCAGGTTAGATTAACTTTGTCTTGCCAAAATAAGAGTAACAGTAATTTCATATGGTTTTTCCTCAGATTATGTCTTTCCACTATTCATCAGTTTTGAGGGCCGTCTACTTAAAGATTGAAACAAGTACCTTGCTCTGACAGGAGAAGTTAGGATGAGAAATTTTAATTGAGACTAAAAACACGAGATTTCAGCACTAACAAGAAAATTTCACACTTCTGGAAATAATATGCTCAAAATATTAACAACAAAAAATCTTACAAGGATTGTAGGGAAAATAAAAAGAGACACACGTATTACCAACACTAGAACACTCAATCATGGTCCGAAACAACATAAGCAATTGATTCTTAGAATTTGAGTAATATAACTCACTTTAAAAAGGGAAGATGAGGGAATATAGGAGAAATCAGGAGCAATTAACAATGAATAGTAAACAAAACAGTAGCAGCAAAACTCATTCAAGTATTCGCTACAATTGCTTTCTCATGTGGCGTTTTGTCCCATTTGATATCTGGAGCATATGTACATTGATCAGTCTTGTTGCATTTGATTTCTCCAAGTACACCACTTCAGGAAACTTGCGTTTTTATTCTGACTCGTCAAGTACACCACTTCAGATACTTCAAAAGTACAATTTTAACTTTCCAGGTTTGTTTACCTATGTTCTCTAAGCTTTTGAGTTTACCTCCCCTAATGTATAATTTTTTCAAATCTTTTAATACACGAGGCTCTAGCCAATCAGGCATTTGTTCCAAAGGGATGCACCGAAGGTCCAATTTCTTAAGAGTCAGTGGGGCTGAGAAGGTCTCTAAAGAAGCTTCTGTATGTGCTCCACATGATATTACCAGAATTTCAAGGGCTTTAAAGTCCTTCAACTTTGAAAACTCCCCTTTTCCTACAGCTTCATTCCCAATTCGTATGCTCAATTTCCTTAACCTTTCTAACTGAGCAAGTTGACTTAGCTTGCACGGATTTCTTCTAACACTTCCTATCACAAAACCCTTTAGTACTTGGAGAGCAGAGAGCTTATGAATACCTTTGGCATGCTTTTGAGCAGGTAACATTCTGATAAATCCAAATGGGTAAGGTTCCTCAGTGCTGATATATCAGAAGGCAGTTTCTCCAGATTGTGACATGCACGTAAATCAAGGATCTCAAGGCTTATTAGGTTAAGCACCGAAGGAGGTAGGTTATAAAAAGAGATTCACATATTACTGACTCTAGAACACTCAATCATGGTCGGAAACAACATAAGCAATCGATTCTTAGAAATTGAGTAATATAACTTGCTTTAAAAACAGGAGCTGGAGGAATATAGGAGAAATCAGGAGCAATTAAAAATGAATAGTAAACAAAAAAGTAGCAGCAAAACTCACTCAAGTAGTTGCTACAATTGCTTCTCATTCTGCCTTTTGTTCCGTGTGATATCTAGATCATATTCATCTCGATCAATCTCCTTGTTGCATTTGACCTCCAAGTACTCCACCTCAGGAAACATTGTTTGTAATTCTTGCTCGTTAATTTTCAAGTTCTTCAGATACTTCAAACGTAAAATTTTTACTTTCCAGGTTTGTTCACCTTGGTTCTTTAAGCTTTTGAGTTCACCTCCCGTGATGTATAATTTTTCCAAATATTGTAATACACCCGGCTTTAGCCAATTGGGCATATCTTCGAAAGGGATGCACCAGAGGTCCAATTTCTTAAGTTTTGGTGGGACTGAGATGGTCTTTAGAGCATCTTTTGTAACTTCTGTAACTGCTCCACATGATATTATCAGAATTTCCAGGGCTTCAAAGTTCTCCAAGTTTGAAAACTCCCCTTCTCCTACAGCTTCATTCCCAATTCGTATACTCAATTTCCTTAACCTTTTTAACTGAGCAAGTTGACTTAGCTTGCACGGATTTCTTCCAACACTTCCTATCACAAAACCCTTTAGTACTTGGAGAGCAGAGAGCTTATGAATACCGTCTGGCATCCTTTCGAGCAGGTAACACTCTGACACGTCCAAGTGAGTAAGATTTCTCAGTGCTGATATATCAGAAGGCAGTTTCTCTAGACTGTGACATGCACGTAAATCCAGAATCTCAAGGTTTATTAGTTTAAGCACAGAACGAGGTAGGTTAGTCAATCTAGAAATGCCTCTGAGGCTTAGATATCTTAGGGATGTCTGACTTCCCAAACCATTCAAAGAGACTTCATATTCCACTTCAATATGATGTTCGACAGAGTTTTGCCACCGGCCCAACTGAAGAACCTCAACCCTATTCAACCTCGAGAGCCAGTCAAGTTCAAATCTAAGATATTGACAATTCACATTGAAAACCGTAAGAATACCATCAGGCATCACACTGGCTGAAGCATCAAGACCCGCAAATAAGAATGCATGACGATGATCATTGCTAGGCATCCCTGTAGGATTAAATTCAAAAAAGTGAAGTCCTTTTGCAACTGAGATCAGCATTCTTCGAATCCAAGGGTGCACGATAAAACTGTTTATATTGGGAGAATGATTCTCAACTTTGGGGATTATGAAGCTTTCATTTATCAATTGTCCAAAGACATCTTCTCCAACCTCCTCTGCAGTCTTTTCTGAGGTTTTAGCGACCATACCCTCTCCTATCCACCAGTAAATAAGGGGTCTCTTCTTCATGATGCTATTCTCTGGGAAAATTGAAAGGCACAAGGAGCATACTTTCAATTGATTGCTCTCCAGACAGTCAAAACTTTTCCGAAAATCTGATATTGCTTTGCTAACATAAATTTTTTCCTCCACGCCAAGCCTCGACCACTCTTCAGACATTGTCTGATCCTTCCCGACAGCCTGATCTTCAGACGTCTGATCCTTCCCAGTAAAAAGCATCGAATGTGTTATTTCTGTCACCTGACTTTCTTTTGCCGGAAAGAGCTGTTTTACAGATGTAACACTCTTTCTGATGAGCTTCAATCCATTAAGAATGTCATCAGCGTTGCCATGCTTCAATCTATCAAACCAAACATCATTATCGATGTCTTGCACCAAAGTTCTGAACCGTTTTATGAGTTTCCCTTCCCAATCTTTCATCTTGTCAAGTTCAGTCTCAATTTCTTTGAATCCCGAAACTATTTTCTCATCTTTCTTATGGATGGGTTGTAATGCATCCCAAGCTTTTTCCAGACAAGCCAGTAGTGTTGGGACAATTTCCTCAGGTTTTCTTTGAGCTGGCATTCTTAACTACAGAAACAATACTTCCTATTAGCTAAGAAAACATTAGCAATCAAATCTTCAAAGATAAAACTTTTATATACTTAAAACAAACCAAGAAAATATATTATACTACTGATTAATGGAATCCCAAATTGCAAATCAAGATTTACTTCAAGGTTAAAGAACAGTTGCGCACAAAACTTTACCATTTCAAAAAGAGTCAGCTTTTTTACCCCCTATACTTATCGTCACAATTAATAAATGTCAGAGCAATCAATGAATCAAGAAGAAATTTAAACTGGTTGGGAGAATATTAAAGTACCTGGGAGCCTGCAGTTTGTGAAATTTTTAGAGGCTTCTTCTTCCTCCTCCTCAGTTGGGGATCTTCAAATGTGATGTCAATAGGCAGACTAGATGGGGAGCAAAGAATATGTACATTTGCGTATAGCAATTAGTCCCTTGCGTAATTACAAGTTATTTGAAATCTTAACACGAGTACCTGTACAACATAATCCACATATGACCCTTTACGTTACAGGGAGCTATTACAAGTAACTTTTAGGTATTGCTTCATAACTTTATTATTATTTACCCTCATAATTATATATGTTGAGATTAATGCTACCACAGGGATAGAGTACACCTCAAAACAACTCATTCGACTTTTTTTCCAATATATTATTGTTGAAACATAAACAAAAATTGTAATTAATTAATTTTACAAATTGATTGTAAGCTCAAAAATTTTATTATTATTACCTTTAGGTACACAAACATTGAGATCAATACTACCACAAATTTAGAGTACGCCACACAACAATTGCTGATTTGAAAATTTTGAATTCTTTATTAGTCAAACATAAACAAAAATTATAATTAATCAAAAGTTTACAAATTGACTGTAAGCTCGACAAGATATCTAATTGATATAAAATTTACACATAAAAAAGATTTTAAGATTTAACTCGAACTTCTATTGATGACACTAGTTAAATCTTTTTTTTTTCTTTTTAAAGTTTGCTATTGTTCAAAACCACACATCTTATTCAAATATTTGACTCATATTCTCTTACACAAAATACAACCAAAGAAAAGAATATCTTACAGAAAATTAATTTCTTTTAGGTTCTCTTGCACCGGATCAAGGACCTCTACAATTGTCAATGGCAATTATATTTGCAAACATTATTATAACTAATATAAATATTAGATTACTAACTTGTTCAAAGTGGTGCCGAAAAATATGTTAGTGTCTATACTTGTTGTTTTAACTCCTGTACACTGCAGTTACCAGTGGCAAATTGTACATGTCCATCACAAGATAACTGCGAGAAAAAGATTTTTCTCCTTTTGGTATAGGTTAATAAACTGATAAAGGTAATGACACAAATAAATTCCAAAGAAATTTTTTGTGGTATTCCACTGATCAGAAGGGAAAATTCCATGTAGAAGGGTGGGAGACTGTGACTAGTGCTAAAGACCAAGGAAGGTTGGGTATAAGATATACTGATAACATGAATAAAGCAGCCATAGCTGGTTCATGCTTGAGAGTCAAATGAACCAATCTCAACTTTGAGTAAAAATTCTGAAAATCAAAAACTCAAATAAAGCTGGTTCTATCCAGAGAAAGGAGATGGTTGGGTCTACTAATAAAAAAAAAGCCTAAAATTGGGGTGGATTCGCTCAACAAAGATACAGGCTGGATTACAAGGAATGTTAATGTGGAGGAGAATTCGTCTACATAACTTGACTAGTCTAGTAGACCCCTGAGAGACGCAAAGGACAAGGGCCATTTAGATCTAGAGAGGAAGATTTACTGGTCAATCATCCTTTTGGCGAGATGGGTTCTTGGAATTTAGAGAGGTTATCTTTTGTCTTGCTTCCCCGATTGTTCAAAAGATTCAAGTAATTCCCGAACAACATCAATCTAATTCTCAAGATTTTTATAGGTGGAAGGGCCATTATGATGGAACCTTTTATTCAAATCTTACTTCTCCATGATGCAATTACCCCTTGGGGGTAGGTCAGATGTGCTAGCTACCAGGGAGAAACTCAAAACTCTTATTGAATGTAGATCGATGGATCAAATCCCTCAACTTGTATTATTATTCAGGTTTTTTTGCAAATTTCACCAATAGGTGCATAGTTATTCGTTTGGTCCGGTGGCAATTCATTCTCCTCTACGTTCTACATTGACTCTTTTGGATCCACCTCTTTTCCTAAGTATAAAGTAGGTGTAGAATAAAAATTATCATGTCAACAAAAAAATGATGCAATTACCCCATATTATGTTTGACAATCGTCCATGTGTTAATCCCTCTTAGATGTGGAAGCTGCAAGCAAATAAAAGAGTTAGGAAATTCCTACAGCTTGCTTCTAAACAAACTCTTCATATAAGAAATATCAGTCAAGAAAGCATATGTCACGTCTGCCCAGGGACAACATATTTTATGTTTCTACCCCTTTGTCACCCGTATCTGGCAATAGTTGGCCAGTCCCAATTGCCCTTCTTTTAAAGAGGATTTATTTTGATAAGCGTTTATTTTGTGATTATTTTTGAGATGTTTCATGTTGCTTTTGAGTCAAATTGTGAAATGCTATGGTCTAAAGTCCTTATTTTGCCTTGAATTTACGCATTGAGTTGATAGCAGGAAGTATTTGTGATTGTGCCATTTTATTTGCAAATTCGTTACGTATTTGTAGGGTTGAATAATCAAGCCTTAATTTGGAGCTAAATGAGAGAATATTAAAGAGTGGAAAGAGGCTTGAAGCACGTTTGAAGTCACAAATGTTATTGGAGGAAGATGCCCGACACATGGAAAAAATGATGAAGTATTGCACTGGAATAACCAACTTGAAGATGAATGGAATGGCAATGAGCTGCCTCTTGATTAGAGTGACAGGTCTGATTTCGTGGAGTGCGTATGAATTTCTTTCTTGGTACTAACTCAGAGTATTGCATGAAATTTTTGTTTGGTCAAGAACTAGGTACCAAACTACTGAGCTTTCACCAAAGAGAGACTAGATTGAGGATTCGAATCTCATCTGCAGTAAAAAAAATTCAAAAAAAGTGTCATAACATCCTTTTAATCTAATTAGATTCTTATTTCTACTATCCTCTTATACACAACCTCCTTAGACTCTCCTTCCTGCCGTTAAAAAAAAAAAAAAAAAAAAAAGAAGAACTAGGTACCAAGCTTGCAAGTTTGTTTGATATCACTCGTAAGTAATTGTAGGTGTCATCGTCATGGGATTATTTTTCGCGCAAATTTTGTGACGCAGGATTGCAGAAGGCAAAAGGACTTAAAGTAGGCGCTTCTTGATAAACTAATCTACATGACTTTAACATCACTAGCAAAGCTTTGCTGAACAATGTAAATAGCAGATATTGCTTATGCCTTGACTTACCCTATTAAATAGCAAATGGTGATGCAGTAAAGTTGAAATTGATAGGTCATACTTGTATCGTTGTCTGGCAGGAGCTACACCTTCCGGTTAATTAATTATTGGTCGTACTAAGATTAAAACTGTGAAACTTTATTAAGCAGGTATGATCTCTTCTGGATTTTGCTCGTAACGGGTTGATTCATGTTGTAGTAGACAAAGATTTTTTTTGTGGAATCACCAGTTTGAAAGTCTCAAAAATTACCTAATTTCGAATATCCTGACACAAATCATGTATACGGGTTTGGGTAATGATGAACCCAAGGATGATTATTAAGTGTTCCAAACTCGTCATTATGGTAACATCTTGAAGGGGCAAACTAGGCTTGATGTTTACAGCGGAAACACGAGTTCTTGGAAGACTATTGAGGATTCTTGGGGCGGTCATCCTGTTGGGGAGATTTATTATGTTACTTGGAAGCTCCATAGGAAAAAATGGGAAATATTTCTCATAATGGGGAAGATTGCTAGCCTTGATTTGACGAATGAGATCTAAGGAGAGATGGAACAGTCAAAAAATGATGAGGATTGTTATGACTGGACATTATTGTTTATAGGAGGATGCCTTTCTGTGTTTTGTCACTATGCACATCTTTGGATTATGAAGGAATATGTGGAAGGAACTTGGACAAAGGTGATTTTGGTTACCGGATTGTCTTACGATCCCGCATTACTACATACCATTATTTGAATCAAGGGACGGCCTAATTTTGAGGAGGTGGTTGGCACTTTACAATCCGAAAAATGAATCCCTTTCATATTTTGGTATTAACAATCTGGAAGATTACTCTGAGAAAGTCGTTACGTATGATGAAAGCTTAGTTTTGCTCAACAGCCATGGCAGAGTATAAAAGTCTAGGGCATGAAACGGGAGAAGAGTACAGGCTAGCTAGGTGTAAATGTTTACTGCTTCACAATACCTGTACATGTTGAAGATCAAACTTGAACCTGTGGTCGGTCAAGTTGGACAAATGTTTTACTACAGAAAGGGAGAAATGGTGCTGATTAAGTTGTGTAATGAACTCTAGGGGTTAAAATCACATGGAAGGTTTTCGTTCTTTGCTCTTCATTATTGTGACGAGACAACAACAGTAAATGCAATTTTTGTTTTGTCAAACCTAGTGTTCTATAAATTAACTCCTTAGAAACCCCTAGAAGATATGATTTTTGGTTTTGCCTTTTGTGGTAACACGCTTAATTTGCTTGTAGTATTTGTCCAGCAAAGAAAATAGTTAGATATTTTTCTACAGTTGAAAGTTAATGTGATTTTGAATATAGTATTCCATCTCAAAATTGGATTAAAGCTTGTTCGTTATCCAATGTTAATAATAGATGTAAAACTGCCTATTTCCCATGCCACCTTCTATGTGGTGTACTGAGCTTGGAGAATTAATAGCATTCCAACATCTTATTAGAAGACTATAAAACTACCC